ATTAGAAGTCTCAGTAGTTCCAGTATTTGTACTTCGGCCAGCAAAGTCAATGTTGTTGGTCTCAGTTGTATTTATAATACTGGTAGGGGTATCTACATTATTTGAATTTAATCTATTATTTTCATTTATAAAACAAGATGATGTATTTGTTGAACATAAGCTTTTACCTGGGACAGCACATACTTTACGTCACTTTGGTTTTTTAAAACCATCTGAGGGATCACCCAGCGACTTACATAAATGATCTAAAAATGATTAGCTTACTAAATCAGTAGTTGAGTCGAAACCTACATTACAACATGGTAGTCGTGAAAGCACTTGAGACTTGTCTAATGGAAATGTTTCAGTTTTGCGAAATCCAGCCCTAAGGTTATCATTCCCATGTTCGTTTAAGTTAGTAATTAAACGGTCTAAAAGTCTAGGAAATTCATCTTTAGGAAGAGAAGCAACACTCCTTCCTTTTCTTTTCTCCTTCCATTCACATAATATTTTGCGCCGGTTAATCTTTATAGGTCTAAAGTAGGCAACATCTAAAGTCTGCGTGAGATGTGTAAAGTTTGCTGGTAATGCCACAAATCCTATGTTATTGCTTTGACATGCATCCAGTACTGCAATACTCAAATGTGAAAATACGTTTTCACCTTTAATGACACTTCTTCCTTGAGCCTTCTTAAGTCTTGGAAGAAGTAAAGAGAAAAACGAGTCCTAAAAACATGTTGAGTCAAACCAAACACTTTTTGATCTGTTATAACGTGCTTTTAGTGGCCCATGTTACATCCATGTGTTCCATAATGACTCAGCTTTGTAAACAACATAAGATGGTCGCATTAGCATTGCCACAAAATATTACAGAGAATGAGGTCTTTGTAGAATTAATGATGCGTTCAGGATACTTACATCCACGCTTTGGTAATTTTTTTTTGTGCCTGGATCATCACTGAGATTAGTTTCATCATAATTCCATATATTATCAGATGATATATTACTTATATCATTTGATAGATTTATAAAGTAGTTATTAATCATAGTCGTTCTTATTTTGCTCTCTTTTGCTTTATGTTGCTTGCAAATCTTACTGTGAGTTGTGGATTTCTTTTTAAAAAAGATCGAATCCAATCACAACCTGGAAAATTATTTTTGAACGAAGGTATAATGACTCCTTTGTTTTCTAAATACCTTTTTACTATGCATCTTAAATAATATTTATCAACAGGAAAACCAAACTTAGATGATTTTATTACATAAAACATAAAGCCTTAAACATGTCTTCTTCTTTTGATGTAAATATTTGGTGATCGTCATACTTTTTACGATATGTCTGTTTTATTTTATATTTTAATGTTAATCTTGGTATATTTTCTTTCAAAGCTGCTTGTCTTTAAGTAATTAAACTATTCTTTAAAACTTTTAATGCGTTGTCTAACTGTTCTAAAGTATAAGTAACATATTTTCTTCTTCCACGATTTGGCTTGTAATTTTGTGGCATATTTAAACTAAGAACTAAACAAATTTTACTGTAATTTTATACTGATTTACTAATACAAACTATTATACTAATTTTCTATTGCATTACTACTAAAAAATTTTCATTCCAACATAGTAAATACCATAATATCTATAAACGATCACTAAAAAAAGGTTTACTCTAATACATGGGGTGACTTTAGCCCGAGCCAATGTCACCCTATGTAGTGGGCCAAAGACAACCTACTTTTTTTTAACCTCAATTACAAAAAAGTAATAAACTGTTAAGCTTTCAAAACAAGATAGAATCAAACACTAATGGTTTAAAATTAATTCAGTGTATTTTCCAATAAAAAATCTTCTACAGGTACTGCTATCGATGTAAAAGTTTACACACCTAAAAAAATTTGGATTTTAGGTGCTTCTTCTAAAGTGCATATTATTTACAATAATATCACAAAGACTCAAGTTAAGTAAACTAAGTTAGACTAAATAAATAGTAAATTTCCCACAATTTGTTACTAAACATCAACCGGCATACCTTGAGGTATCGGTTTAAACCATTTTTAAACAAAAATTTCGCTTGGGCTAAAGTCATACCGAAGGGCCAAAGCCACCCAATCTAACGATAATTATTTCTATTAAATATTAATAAATTATTGTTATTGTATGCAAATTTTTTGTTTATATGTCTCATTTTTATGCTAGTTTAAACTACCCCTTTTCATAAAATTTAAATAGACCAATTTAGAGCAGTTTTAGAGGTGTTTTTGATTGTTATAGTGAAAAACAATACATAATAGAGTTAAATAAAAAATTGTATGAACATTAATCTTTCATAGTAAGTAACCTATTTTATAATTTATATTATTTGCAGATTAGGATTTTGGATCACAATGTGCATTCATCAAATTTTATTACGCTCAATGATGTTTGCAGGATTGTTAGCTATTAATGTATTGTTAAATAACTCTGTTGGTTCTTCATTACTTGGCTTAGCAAATGGTTTAGCTATGTCAGTAACAGCTCTAGGAAG